TATATATAATTTCCATTGTTGTGCTGGAAGTGGAGTTTTACCCGGTACAAGGCGGTGCCCAGACCCAGCCAGGTCAGGCAGGAGGGGGACTGTTCACACGCCTGCAGGTAGACCTCTTTGGCTTTTTCAAACTGGAAGTTAAAAACACAGATTTAGTAACTCTGGCTCTTTAGTGGTGTTTTGCAATAACACAACACATTTTCATCTAGCAACACAATGTGTGGATCTGCATTGTCTCAGTATCTGACCTTCTCCTGCAGGAGGTAGATGGATCCCAAGCGGAGGAGGACAAGGTGAGAGTCTGACGGCTGCTGCAGGAAGTTCAGGCTCCACTCATAACTCTCCTGGGCGTCAGTGAATGCCCCTCGCAGGTAGTGACAGTGACCATTCAGAGCCCATGTGTCTGCGTCCTGCTCACAGGGTGGACAAAGCTTTACAGGTAACCACACATGTCACATGTTCCACCCAGTCCTCATCATGGACTGAAGGTTGTGGCTCAGCGCTGCAGCCAGTAGACTGTGTGTACCTGATCTCTGTGAAACAGCGCCTCCCTGAGGGCTGCAGCAGCACCGCAGTAGTCAGCTTTGAGCAGATGCAGCTGGGCCAGAAGTCGGAGGAAGGAGACGCTGCGACCACCTTCTGAACACAGGAGCTCCTGGGACAGAGCACGCTCCGCCATCTGGTGACAACGTGACAGTGTCAGCTGACAACTGGAATTTTTATATTTTGGTTTTGTTGGAACTGAGAAAATAAACTCTCTTGTTAGTATATCTGACCAGTGGCTTAACAAACCACTGGATGCTCAGTGTGTTTGTACCTGCAGTGCAGTGTTCTGCACCAGGAACTTCACAGCCTCCATGTAAATGGTGGGGGAACGTTTTGGTTGAGTAGATCTGCAGCCGACACTTTGTGCCGAAGGCTCTTTGTGCATCTCTGAGTCCTGGTCACTGAACTCTGGACGTGAGGGGGAAAACACAATAATATTGTCTGGTGCAATGTGAGTGTATGACCAACAAAAAGAAATTCAGATGGTTCTTGCCAACGGAATGTATCTAAACCTCGCACAACATGGATTACGATTACTCTGTCACTGCATTTTCTATTTACATTTTAATATTATGTCCTGAGAAGTGGGATGAAGTGTGAGAACTCCTCCTCACTTTGATTAACATCAGGAGACTGACACACAGGAGGGGCTGTCTCCACTTCCTCCACCTCCTGGTTTTTCAGGTCTCTGCCTTTCTTTTTCTCCTCCTCTGCTTCTGCTCGCTTCTTTGCTTTGTCTGCAATCAGCTGCTTCCTGGCCTCCAGAAAAGCCCTCTGAGCCAGGATGGATTCATTCTGCCCCTCATGGAACAAACCTGGACAACACACCACGAAAATATAAAGTCAGACTTAGAGTTGACATCCATCTTTCTTTCTCTCTTAGTGTTGCTTGAGTTTTTTTAAAGTTTTGAATACGGTTTCACAGGTAAAACAGCAGCGAGTAGGAAAATCAACTTCCATCTCACCCAGCAGCGTCCAGGCCATCGTACTGGGAGGGTCTACGTTCGCCGCCCGCTCCAGGAAGGTCTGGGCCTCCTTGTAACGTTCAGATGTTGCTGCCAACACGCCACACATCATGAGGCTGGAGAAACAAGAACAGATTATTCGGATGCCTGGTTAAACATAACTGTGAGGATGGGCTGCTGCTGATTTAACATTTTCCTTTTCACACAGTTTCCAATGTACAAAATGTCAAAGTGAATTAACGTCTCTAATAATAGATATGCGATGAGTTGTGGGAGCCTTTAATTATTAATGTTGTTATATATTAATTAACACTGGGAGCAGAGAACCAGTGAACTGGAAGTATTTTTAAAGTTTCCTGTTACATAATCCCACGACACCTAATACTATTTTAGTATCTGTGATGGATAAATCATCTCTGGACATCTGTCACATCCAGAGCAAAGTGAGGACCCAAATGCAGAAGCCACACGAGGACAGATGAAATGAACAGATTAATGGGAAGCTAGAGTCAAGAAAGCAGCGGCGTCTAAAGCTCTCGAGCAGAAGGAACAGAAATGAGGCAAAGCTTTGTCGTCTTGGAATAACAACGCTTGGAAAACATTGATACTGCACCGATAAAGACAAAGGAAAACACAGACTACACACACACACACACACAGGTGACACTCATGAAGGTGGGCCAGGTCATCATAAAGGACTGAAACCACACAAAGACAGGAAGTGAAAGGCACTGAGATCAGAAACAAGGGTGTATGATAAATAAAAATAAAACAGGAGCTGAATAAAAAAGTGCAAGAAATTGTTTTAAACATAAAAACTCCAAAAAAAGATCCACAAAGAAAGAAGTAAAGAAGTTTTTAAAAAGAACCCAAACACAGACAGAAGAAGAAGTGATGACAGACCTGAGCTCTTTAAGACACAATCATGCAGCCGTGCAAAACAGGAACCACTAGATTAAAGTTAGATACTACGGTTTCAGATGAAGCGGACCGTGTCTGACCTGGGCTGATGTGTCTGCTGGATGGATACAGCATCATGGAAACACTCTTTAGCCTTCATGTGGTCTCCAGTCAGCATGTGGAGACTCCCCCACTCAAATCTGAGGGAGGGCTCACTGGGGTTCCTCACCACGAGCTGTTGGAGAATAAATACAATATTCAACAGGCACTCGGTCATTTCACCAAGCAGTCATTTTGTACAATAGTGAATAATTAGTCTCCAACTCTGTTTTTGATTGAAGAGCAGAGGCATTAGCACTGACGAGCGTGTTCTTGTACCTCTTGGTAGTAACGATCAGCCTGCTGATAATCTCCGGTGAGCTCCGCTTCTTTTGCAAAATGTCTGAGCTGAGAAGAACTCAGCTGGATTTCATCTGTGGAATCATCATCAACGTCTTCTGAATAAATCTGGAGAGGGGAAAATGAGTATATATATATATTTATATATATGTTATGGGGATTTCTCTTGCAAGTGAACTTTAAGGTGAAGACAAGTGTTAATGCTGGGGTTAGGTTTAGGTTAAGATTGGCTTTAGGCTAGCAGTCAGTTTGTTAGGGTTACAGAATGTCTTCTCAAGAAATCAATGTAGGTCAATATAATGTACTGAGTGTGTGTGTGTGAGTGTGTGTGTGTGTGTGTGTTACCTTGTTGAGAGCGATGTGCGTCTCATCCACCAGATAGACATAGAGCTCACTAACAAAAGCCTTTAGATCCTGAGGGTCAGTGAATGGATCTGTCCTCCGCATCTTGTCACGTACAAGCCTCACCACTGCATGCTACACACACACACACACACACACACACACACACACACACACACACACACACACACGTATATTGAAGACTGTCAGGGTTCCTGCAAGTTTCACCGGTGTGCTGTTTGCAGTCGTTCTGACCTTCATCTGCTCCTTGAAGGAGAAGTATCTCCCAGAGACGTTGAGCGCTCCCATCAGCTGAACTGTCTCTTGCTCCCGGCTGCAGTCGTCTGATGGTTTGCATGTTGCTCCAAATAATTCCCTATACTGGTCTGAGACTTGGGTCACCGTGTTGCCTACCTGCCTGTGGAAGTTGAGCACAGCCTGCAGGAGCAGACACAAGAAAGTGAGAGACCCTCCACTGATGTTTGAGCTTTATCTTGTGGTTTTTTTTTTTGGCACGTTTGTGTAACTGTGTCTGTGTTTTACTTTTTCTGCTCTGCTAGGACCCACTGGAGGTCGAGGTCTGGGTGGGATCAGTGCCTTCACCCTGCAGGAGGAAACAGAGACACATTCTCACACCCTTGTGTTTCACAGTCGGTAAGAAACCCACAGTGAACAGTTTCTGATGGCTAAGGTTTTATTTGCTCAGGGCCACAATCTAGAAACACAGTAATCAATAGAACCAAACTCAGTGACCACAGAATACTGGATTTAAGTGACACGTTACCTCCTGGACAGTTCCTCTGGAGAGGTTTTGGGAACCAGAGGTTTCTCCAAGGCTATCTCAATAATGAGGTAAGTTCTGGCTTCAGCATACGTCTGTCGTTAACAGGAGTGAGGTGTCAGGATGATGAATGCTTTCAAAAATATTGAATAACATGTGAAGTGAATATAAGTTTGTAGTTTTTTTCTCATTCCGTGATTAAAAGCACAGTTTTCATAATGAACACAGTTTTGCTGCTGTTTGGTAGAAACTTACATTTTGCTCTGTGTTGACGTGCGGCTCAGGCTCGGTCAGGCTCTCGGAGTCAGTTGTAGCCGTCCGGCACTGATTGCCAGGTTGCTGACAAACAAACACAACGTTGAATCAAAAGATTTAAGTTAGATTTTGTGAAACTGATAAAAATGAACCACTGGGTTTTGCTTGGGTTGGAAAACTTTAAGAATTTGTTTTACAGTTTATTATTCTTTATTTTCCAGGAATTCTGTTAATTAACGGAATAATCTGTCTCTTAACAGGTAATTTTCTTTTACTAGTCAGGACCTTTCTCACCCTTTTGACTGGCTCCTTTGAATCCTTGGCTCCCTTCTGTCCTCCTTCCAAATTCTTCCCTGCCTTTGCCTTGTGCGAGCTTGCAGCTGAGCTGGCACGAGGTTTGTTATGTTGGGCTGCGGCCTTGGCCTGTTCCTTTAACACACTGACACTCCTCTTCGCCTTTTAGCACAAGACAGAAGACAAACTGTCTTTACTTGAAGCTTAACAACACAAACACGATGGAAGCAGTATTAGGGTTATTCAGTAGAATATATCCAGTAAAGTCTTTACTTATGAATCACACACGATAAATCAGGGCTGTGCAGTATACATCCTATTTTTTTTTTTTATCTATATGACCTTGTTCAGCAACTCTGCCTCGGAGAAGGGGTGAACACTGTACGCTCCTCGGATGCGGCTGACACCGGGATACAGCAGCCGGCCCATATCCACAAAGGCCACACTGTGGAGGAGGATCTCGGCGTTCTCTTCAGCTATCTACACACAGAAAGAAAAAAAACACACAAAGACAAATTACACAAAACTTCACATTAACTTTCCTTGAACTTTAATGCAACTGTGGTTGTTGTCCTCCATCACTTTCATCTGGTTCGGGCTTGAGAGCTTAAGTTACAGAGTCATTACACAATGGAGAAGAAAGTATTAAATAATATTTATACTGTTTCTAAACTTATCCTTCTATAACAAAGCTCGCTCACCTGCTTGGTTGCTGCCTTTCCAAGAGGAGCCACCGACCTCATGATCTCCACTGGCCACAGTCTGCTCTCAGTGATCCTCTGCCGCAGCCTGAAGTCAGATAAACATGTTCTCATATCATTTTCCAGAGCCTTTATTTTACCACTAGAATTTGACTTATGTTTTTTTAATGAAGGAGCCAAGTTGTCAAATACAATCTACAAAAATCCTAACATTCAGAAACAGTCCAGGTATAGTCTTAAGATCTAATGTCCTTTCTAGAATAATCTATTTGTAGACGTGGCCATCAGGCAGAGGAGGAGTTGTGTGTGTTCACTGACCTGGCACTTCCTCCTGCATCCAGGAAGCAGCACATCTCTGTGTCCCAGCTCACCCTGCTCTTCATGGCCTCTGCCTCATTACGAAACTCCCGGTCCTGTTGGAACATTCACACCTTGACGGTTATCGACAGTAATGTGCCATTCAGCCAAAATCAATCAATGAGTCTTTGAAGCAGCAGACGGAGGCCAGATCCACAGTAACCTCTAATCCAGTCAGCTCTCCGTCCTCCTGTTCGATGGGCTCTTCTTGGAAATAAGCTCCAGGCATGAAGTGGTTTCCTGGGGCCAGCAGAGCCTGATGGGGCCTCTTCTTCTGTCTGCCCTTTACCTCCGTCTGCCCCCCTGGCTTCAGCTGCCCATCACCAAACACCAGTGCCTGATCTTTCTGGAGGTTAGAAGAAAAGTACACCCACAGTGGTTAAATCATTAATCCTGGAAACTTTCATGTTTGAGTTCTGTGACATTTTGATTTAACACGTCCTAAAACTTTACAAGCTCTTCAGTAAAACAGTTACAAACACAGAGGAACATTCACCTCAGCCATAAGTGGGACCTCCAGGGCAGCAGTGAACGAGGAGGAAGTTGGGGCGGCACCAGACGGCAGCATCCATGACTCAGGGACGGAGAAGGCTGTCTCTATGGTTACCTTCAGCAGGTTGGAGGCCGAGAATTCGATCTCAGACAGAAGCGGAGCCGACACGCTGACACTCACATCCAGGGTCGACTGCTAAAAGGGGTCAAATGTTGAGGGTGTTTGATTTGCTTATAAACGATTATTTTGTCTAAAAGTGTCACTGAAGACTGTAAACTGAGTTTTTCTACCTACGGTTACACAACCTACTAATTTAACGTTTTTGAGAACAACTGTGTTCATTGGTGGATCCCTGTTCTGCACACCTGGCTGCACTTTTCTCTTCCTGCTCTGGACTCACTTCCTCCTCTATGTAGCCCCTGTGATAGAGCACAAGCATTTCTGAATCATATGAAAGGACCACAGATAACAGGTGTGTTGCTTATTAAATCTGTGAACACCATTTATTTCCAACATTGAGTTTGCCTTGGTCCTCTCTCCCTGTGCCTGACAATATCTGAGTGAAATTATTAAATGGGTATTACATTATGATTATTATTTATTATTGAATTATTAACACACAAACCTTGGAAGACTTGGTTGGGGGGCTGGTCACAGGATTCAATGGGACAGTGGCTGAGAAGCTGCACTGACCTGAAGTCAGAAGAAAAAAAGTCACGTCCACACAGGATTCTTCTTCCCCGGCGTCCACAGCTCCACCCGTTTGTTTGCTCAAAATACATAAACATATTGTGAACATCATTTCTAACGTGTACAAATGTACCGTGCAGCAGCGGCAGCAGGTCGACCACAGCTTGGCCCAGCACCACCGTCTTGGCTTCAACTTTCTTCTCCTCAGGCAGGAACTCAGTCACAGTCACTGACGACAAAAAACTGTTTAATCCAGTGAAAATTGAAGCCAATTAGGACTCCAGGCCTTCTTCTGTTTCATTCAACACTCTGCAAATTACTCCAAATGCTATTACAAGGATTAGGGATACTTGTTTCAGTTTAAGCTGCAATTGACTTGTCTCCATCCTAAGTTTCTGTCGACCGGACCTGCAAGAATATCTGCAGATCGTTAACAAACTTCCAACAAACAAAATTGCAGCAACATATTTTGCCAATTCTGATGAAATATATCATCTAGAATAAACAAAAAGTGGTTAGATAGTGTAACAATAATTAACCACAAGGCTTAATGATGTGATTTTCTTGTAATCGGCTTATTTGGTCAGGTAGTTGTGTAAATGTTAAGAAATAAGCTCCATGTTCATGAACTAGTTAAAGGTAAGGTAAGCAAACATGTAATAACTAATACAATAACAGGCTCTAGGTCAGTAATATAAAACTTTCTCTTTGCTTAAATAACAAAAGATTTTAACCACTGGATGTATTTTTCCATTATTGGACAAAAAAACAAGATTGATGAAGGTTGAAAAAGGCAACTTACATATGATTGGTTTATGGGCCATGTCACTGAGAGCCTGGGCGTCATGGAGACAGTGATATTTGCAGGTGAAGTTGTAGTCAACGCGCTGCTCCACGGGGTCGTACTGCTTCTTGTCTGACTCTCCCAGCAGAACTCTGTCCACTTCAACCTGCAGAAAACTCTGGAAGCTGTCCGTCTTTTTCCCCTGCTGAAGAAAAGAGGAGAAACACAATAGACAACATGAGGTGTGCACACTCACAGTGTCCCTGATTCTAGTCATTAAAGCTGCATGTTGCAATTCTGAACATCCATCAGAAACATTCTGACGCAGGGTGATGAAATGAATAAGTATTTATTAGTCTAAATTAGTCCCTTCAACTACAGCACGGGGTGTAAGGGGCACTCACTACTCTGGGCCAATTAATGAAATCAATTAGGCCTAATTAACTCTAAAGTGACACTTTTAACATATGAAACTCTTGACGATGAGTAACACAGAAGTTTTATTATCAAGCATTTTTCGCTTTTTTCTTTTAATTTATCTTTTTATCCAGCAAGTTAGAAGCGATCATACACGTTAATAAACCTCTGTTGCTCTGGTTACGTCACTTGAAGTGGGCTGAGCTAATAGTTAGCATGTGAAGCTAACTTGTCACTTGTCCTTTTTAAAGTTGACCAAAGTTAAACTCACCAGGTTGTTTCCGCGCGATGCAGTTATTTTAATAAAGTCTGTTTCTGTGGAGTCACCGGGCGTCTCCATTGTGAACACGGGCCACAGAACAACGTTCAGCGGTCAGCGGTTAGCAGCTAGCAGCTAGCAGCTAGCGGTTAGCCTCTTCCTTCAGATACACAGATTCACGTTTCCATGGCGACAGTACACATGCTGGTGCGTTCACTTACAATCTGAAATATCCAGACTGACAGACCAGCAGGTGTTTCAGACCTACATAAAAATATAAAGGATAAAAAGAAAGCCAGTCTCGACATTATATGTACACAC